AGCCCCACCACCCCGGACCCCCCCCCCCCCCCGAAAAAGTGCCACTTACGAGTACGCCCACCTTGAAAATCCTGAAAAGGATAGCCATATGTCAGAATTGACTTAATGGCACTTATGTACACGTGACTTACACTTCGTTTATGAATAATAAGTGGTCTTGTTGAGACTTTTTTTTTTCAGTCATCAAAACCATAGTTTGGAGGATTTGCACTGATAATTTGTTAAAAGCAAACACTGGGTTTTTTTGTTTATTTGTTTGTTTTAGGATTAAAGGAGGTCAGAATTTTGGATCAAGTCATAAAGGTCTACGTGTGCCAAACTGTCTGCTTCATACTTTGAATTCCTTAGAAATCTTAGGGTTTCTATTTAGTCTTTCAGTAGGACACTTCATATATATTGACTTGTTTAAAATTGTAGAAGCCAAAGTTGGAAATTCTAATGCTGATTTGGTGAAGCAGGCTTACACAATTTGAGTGCAATCAAGGGAGCTAATTTAGGTCTACTCAGGCTTTGGACTTGCCCTTTGGGACATGTAGCACTTTTCCCACTGAATGGCAAATCCCCATTCCATGTCAAAAGTAGTCATTAAACTTTGCTCAGTTTCAAAAAAGGTATATCAGGTGACAGAGACAGCTGTGGTTGGAGAAACAGAAATCTACTTTTTATTGTCATGCAGAAGTAGTCACATAGTTTATTGGATACAGGCCTTTTGAGTGCCATGGAGTTCATTGGTATGTGCAACCTTGGTATATTTTGAATATTATCACAACTTTGTTTTGAGAAATTCATCTGCTATTTTACATGCTTCTTCATAAGATTAGAACATCATTTCAGCTTCTAACAAAATCTGTAATTTTCTCAGCTAGATCAGTCCACATGTTACAGAACACTTTGAAATAAAATTGATGCTATGCATGTTTAAGGAGATGTAAATAGCACTATACTTTAATGAGGTTTGTTTACAGATACAGGTATGCCCAAATTCACTCACAGTCCCTAAATTGTGTGCAAAGCAACAGTGAGTTTTGCTGTATCTTGAAGACTAACAAATTTATTATCTCCTAAAGAAGGTGAAGAGGCAATACAAAGCTGGCATCAGAAGAGTTTAAAAAAGAAGACTGTAGGATATGCATATA